GTTCAGCAGAATGATCACTGCATATTTTATAGCAATACTAGGTGATGTAGCCTTTATTAATTTATTCATAGAATACATTTAGATCACATTGCCTTGAAAAATCTGCATCCACTTGAAAAAATACAAGTAATGAACTTTTTGTGCTGTTTTCTGAAGGAGGAAACCTTGTCTTTAAAGAGAAAGAAACAGTTCTGAACCAAAGAAGGAAAAGGTAGTTTGACAAAGACAATTAAAGCAGCAGGCATGGTTGAGAACTGCTAATGTGCGTAACAGGGTTGGCTTTCCTTTTTCTTTTTTTTGAATTGTCTCCCAACCAAATGAAGTATTTTATAACTTTAGACAATACATACAAAGCTATGAAAGAATGTTTGATTCTGGCTGTAACACCACAATCACAAAATAAACTGACAGACATTCCTTGCCCATGTAGCTTGGCTAATCTACCTGAAAGATAACTTACTCCATCAGGTAAACTCAAACCCAAGATCGATCTGCTATTTTAAAAGCAAACAACAGGCTAATATCTGCTGTCACTTAAATAACATCAAAGACTTATTTCAAAAAAAGTTGATAAATAATTAGAATGAACACTGTTCACTGCATTAGTGAAGTTACATTACATTTTCATCTCCTAATTTTCCCACAGATTTCATTATCCTGGAGAATACCGAAAATTTTTGTTTAGAGCAAGGGTACCTCTCCCTTCGCATCTCATCTCTACTCTGGCAGTGTCCTAATTTATCATTATATTGCTGTCTGTCTTTTCTTGCCTGGTGTTTAAATACTTAAAAAAGTATTTTTCTTTTTTTTCCCCAAATACATTATTACCTTAAAAAACTCCAGTGAATAATCTTAAAAAAACCCCCTGTTTTCTCCGGCGAGAATTGTGGTTCTCACAAACATGGCATTAGCAAGCAACTGTGGCCTTTTGAAGGATACCATTTGAAGAACTGCTGGGCTGAGCAGAGTTGGGAGGACCACTGCTGTACCTGTGCAGTAAGCCTTACAATGGCAGTGCTGCGAACATACCCTGTGCAATCTGGCCTTTACTTAACATGTTCGAGGTCTCTTAGCTAAATATCACAAAGATCATACTAATAAATGTAAGATTTGGTTGACACCTTTTGCACTGAGGCACTACTTTCACTGGAGTTCTTAATTAGAGAAAGAAAGTTTGGGCATTTGAATTAGCTGCAATGAATAGAGAATTCCTGAAGTTTAAGGTAGGAGCACTTCTCACATGGGAACTGCTGATCTGCATGTTCAAGCAGACATGGACACAAGCACTGCCCAGAACAGCAGACAGTCACCATGTCAGCTTGCAGAAAGAGGCCAGGGCCCAGAGAATGGAAGAACAATTAAGGGAAATGCTGAGACCATAACTTATTCCTTAAGCTTGCTAAAATTCAGTGGTTTGAAGCATCTGAAGCACAGCTCTCTATGTAAAACTGGAGGCTAAAGCAATTCTTGCAGGAGGGTCCATTCCCTTACACAGGTATGTAGATGTCAGTTTTGATGCTGACTTTTCTAGCTGTACTCTAGCTACTTTAGCTGACACATCCAGCTGTGATCTCAATTGCAGCTAACCACCTTGCAGCAGCTGTCTCTGCATATCAATGTGCCATATGAAATCTTTTTTTCGATTTGACTGCTTTGGGTTAAGATTGGAACTGCTATAAGGTGACTAAAACATAAAATTTATAATTGGCTTTATAGCCCACATCCTCTGTTTCTCTGTTACTATTATTTTCAAGTAAATAATACACATACTCTCTTAAAATATTTTCATTTCTAGAAATTCTTCCCACCTACTCATTTTTATTGTGCTTTCTGAAGAGCCTCCATAATGAGGTTACAACAACTACTTTTGATACTGATGTGTCACTGCAGTTTTCTGAGCAATAAGATCTGATACTTTTCCCATTATACTTTCATAAAATTTCCCATGTCTGGAAAGTCATTCTTGGTCTTAGTTATAATTTATAGCAATGAGGCAATTATTTCAAATTCTGTACAGGTAATATAATTAGTAATCCTATTTCTTACTACACTACAAAAATCAAGACAGTATAATAATCCCAGGTTTCATATCTATTGACTGCATGACTGGCTAGGTTCCAATTCCCTCTCTAGATGAACCCTTGTCTATGCTGGGGCTACCTCAACTTGTGCCATAACAAGCAACAACTTGAGCTGCTGTTCTAGAAATAAAGGAGCAAATGAAATACAACAATGCTATATAACATTTCTATAACCAAACACTACTATAACACTACTACAATGCTTGTGGACTAAAATATTTTAGAGTGCCTCCCTGAATCTGGAACTAGCATTCACTGACAAATAAGGCAAATCTGCTATTGTTAATCTTCTTCAAATAAAGCACCCATCCCAGTGGTGCTTGTCTAGGAAAGGAAAAAAATTACCACTGTATTAAGATTAGAGCTGTTATGTTTACCTGGCATTATAACATCAGGAAACCCCAGCTTCCTAGTAACAGAAACACCTCTGTTAAAGATTATGGGGTTTTCCCTTCGAATCTGCTCCATGTCGCCACGAAGAAGCTGAAGAGATATTATAAGTCCTGGGAAAAAAAAAACAAACAAAGAAACCAACAAACCAAAGATATTAATTTTTTCAGATGTAAGAATTAGACATCTGTATACAGAAGGCATGCAGGTAAAACAATGCTTTACTCCACAGTTAATTTATTAAAAATATATGAATACTGAGTTATTTTCTCCCTTGGAGTAATTTAAAACTGAAATGGAAGAAACAAAAATGCTTTAAGAGATCTGCTAAGAGCATAACGTTATATTAAAATACATTTTTTTTTTAAAGCACGATGCTTAATTTCACAGAGATGTCAGAGTTATAGTGAAGTACTCAGCGTTATTTCTGTTCCTCATATACGGCAGGTTACAACACATGTATGAGTAATGCCACTTCTGTCTGAACTACCACATCACACAGTGCTACAGAACATCTCTCAAGTACCTTTAAACCCACTTAATACCATTTAAAATATTATCTCAAAGCATAACTGTTCCACTTGTTTCATTAACTACATACAGGAAAGCTGATTGTAATGAAATTCCCTTCAGTACCTCAACAGGTTTCAAAAGCACTAACTGGTCAAACTGGCTTCAGCAACTAGCTCTTTCAGTGCAACTCTTTTTTCAGCAGATCACTGTAATTATTCCTAGTCAAGCTACTCATTGTTAACCTCAGTCCTCTAGTTGCTTTTAATGTATAGCATACTGGGCTCCTAAAGTGAGGATAATGTATTGGTAAAATTACGAACTCGAACACTATGATACCAGAAAACGCAAGGATTACCATATACGCTTGGTCTCATTTGCTGAGCATACATTACCAGCTTCACATAGCAATGTGAAATACATTCACACTGCAATTTTCCACAATCTTCATCTCATTCCATAAATGACAGTTAGTCAATACTTCTTTCTACCCTCCCTGTTCACTCACTGGAATACACAGGAGAACAAACACTGCCCTGTACACACACAATCACATGAGCCATCTCAAGTTCTGCTGTTGCCTAAGCTTAACATTTGGACTTTGCTAATAATATTTAGTAGCCATTTTGTTAGACAAGTTACTAGGGGAATGAAACCAGTAGTATCATGTGCCTCCCACCCACTTTCTTGCTCTCTTCCCTTCAAATAATTTTCAAGCTTGTTGTTCAGCTTCTGCCAAATTTGGCAAATTAGTAGATATCTAGGTAACATGAAGATTGTTTAAGTTCTATGGATGCTGAGAGCTGGGATGAAAAAAGAACACAAAGCCTTAAAACGTAGGAAAGGAAGGCCAACCAAGCCAGCTGGACGATCAGTATGTGTCTGCTCAAAAGCTGCCAAAATAGGGACTTGCAACTGCCCAGCTAAGCAGGCAAAAGAGCACTGCAAAGCACTGAAGGGAAAACAGAGGCTGTATAACCATGGAAAAAATTCAAATGCTTTGAACACCATGCTTAAGTGTCCATCTGTGTGTATGTGCTACAGAAGGTTTAAGAGAACACAGGAGACAAGTTCATCAGAAATCAGTCTTGACTATTTTTACTACTTAAAGAAAAACTTGTTCCTTTTATATCCTCTTTTACTATCAAAAACAGCTGAAAAAAATTTTAAAAATTCCAGCAAAAAAGACTGGAGCAAATTTTGAGGTTCAGACCTCCCAACACCCAACATTCTCAGTACTGAACAAATAGAACCAGAATTAATCTATTATCTGTAAAAACCTGTAACTAGAGGTAATAAAATATGTAACTTCCCAGCATGGTATTGCATATGTTACTTACGTTCTACCCTCCCACATATTCTACCCCCAAACGCTTCTGCCTAGCTTCTTGCTCTCCTTGAGAGCTTTTGTGAATCTGCTTCCAGTCCTTTTTTTCTACTCAGTCTATCCTTCCAGGTTTTTTTTTTCTATTCCTTGCAGCAGATCTGAAACACTAATTTTACACAGGACCTGGGGAGGTGGAGAGACAAAAAGAGGACACTTTCTTCAGGGAAAAATGAAGTTGCACCTGTGATTTGAGCATTTTCTCATTGCAAGAGCAGGTTCTGAGAGGCCCAAATTGTATTACTTATGCTTAAACCACGTCAGCCTGCAATGCTGCCCCTCCCACCAGGACAATACCTCTGCCACATTTCACAACCTCTTATTCCAGAGATGCACTAGATCTTAATGAAACGTTTGAAATAATTAAAACAAAGCCAAAGGCAAGGGTAAAAAGCTATCTATTTGCCTTTCTTCCGGCTCTTCAAATAAGTTCATGCTTGGGAGGAAAAAGAAAAAAGTTTTAGGCATACACCTGGCATAAATGCAAACAGTCCAAGTTTTCAAAGTTATAAAGGATTCAGGAAAATGTTTGGATGAGAAGTGGAAGATGACCTTAACTGTAACAGGAGGAAGAGCTGGGAAGGAGACCAGCTTTGCATATAATAAAATTCCAACCCCTAAAACTGTTTCATTTACCTATTGTGCTTAATATCTCGTATAGGAGTGTGACCTGCATATTCCACTACAATATCTCAACATGTAAAACAAGTGAAATTAAAACAATATCAGCACCCGGACGTCAGTATGCAGATGAATCAGGCACTTGCTAATGAATGCAAAACTAGCTGTTATGAAGTAGAACTGTGTCCTATCGACTGACTCATTTGGAATGGAATAGTAACAATATCTCTGAATTAGTGAACTACAAAAATCATTAAATGTGCTAACAAGATACGATAAGGTTTACTTTCCCTATTTATCTGTCATCAGCTTGGGGAATAAAAATGGAGTTGAAAGGTGGCAAAAGCTCTGCCAAGACAGTTATTCTCCTCAGCGATGTAATGAAACATTTAGTACCGAAACTATCACAGAGAGTCATCTCAATAATTAATTTGTAGGTACAAAACCACTCCTTATTTTCTGTACAGTCGGAATTTTCTGAACAGTCAGACAAATACGTTAGACAAATTTACCCTCTGGCTTGGCTTCTGTTGACAAGGATGCACAGTATCCTCAGGAGAGCAAGCCTATAGTGTTACATATGGAATTTTCAATGGAATATGGGATGAAAAGGAAGATAAAAAGGAACATAGTTTTACGCAGGCGTTGTGGTTTGAGGCTTGGAATG